CCTACCTGAGCAATTTCCATTTTATTATTCCGTACCTTATTTGTCGAAATATATTGTCTTTTGTAAGGAATTAATAAATAGGAAAGTTTTCGCCCGAACTATAGCGATATATCAGAGAGTGCGCGATTCAAATTATAACTAATCACAAAAGTTTCAAGAATGCGCCGTGTTGCTTTATTTGCATAATATAGCAGCTGTTCTTTATGGTCCTTCGGATGTTATTAGGTGTCTCTCTTCTTTATGGGTACCTACCCGCGATACTTACGACCGTAACTTCATATACGGGTGCCTTAAAATTAACAAAAAAAAAATCGCAGAGACCTTATTTCGAAAAAATTTTCAACTCTAATTTGTCACCGAGCGCTACCAAAAGGTGAAAATTTATAACAGACGGAATAAGTTTGCTTTGGGAAATAAGAATTATAATGTAGATAAAACTTTTTAAAATAAGAAATAGTGTCTAAACTCGTATTATAATTCTATAATTGTATCCATATTATTACAGGAATTAGTCGATTTTAAACCTATTTATTTACCAAAGGAAAAACTTTTTCATGTCTTCGGCTGCAATATTGGCATATCCATTGTCGTTTCTATAAGGCCTTTCCCGGTGGGGCGTGAGTTCTGGACCACCCAGTATAGTACAGATGGAAGAGATAGAGTAGTGTGTTCGTTCCAAATTTTCAGTTAATTTTTCATTCTGATCTATCCAAACGAAGAAATACGGCGCTGGGAAAGTTTCCAAAGTATTTTCCGTCCGTCATCGATGGGGGCCGCGTGCTCGCATGACTGCCGGCTATACACACACACATACACGCTGAAAACGTAACAACGACGAATACCGCGATGGATGCAGTTTTGTTTTACGAGCCGGCATACCAAACGTGAAGAATCGTCACCCTGAATATTTTACAAATCGCAATTCGGGCTGTCGACGAGCGCAAAAGGGGGGCACGAGCGGGATCTGATCGCGGCAAGGCCGGGGAATTTATGTCCACGGAACGACTCCGGCGCAAAACGTCGGACCCCTTTTCTATAAATCGCGGAAACGCCGTCTGGAAATTTAGCTCCGTTTCGAAATGTAGTTCTTTTAATTGCACGAAATTATCTACCCTATAAAACTAGTACATTAATACGTACGGAATTGATTTATATTTTAATAATTAATTATACAGTAGAGTAGAATGTTATTTAGCGGCGCTCGCATGCCCGCGATTATCCAAGGGGTTGGAGCGAATTAGCCAAAAAAAAAAGAACTTGTTGCTTTTTTGCCACCTGTGTAAAGTCGAACGAAAAAACGTGCATGTAAATATGAATATTTAAAAAGTCGTTTTCCGAGTCGGAATCGCCTTCGTACCAGCAACGTTAATTCGTTTTCTTTGGGGAATAGTTCCACCTGGCGGTAGTCGCTAAAAATTGTACTAACGTTTTAAACGCAAGATTTAATATAAAACATTTCACAATTAAATTACCTAGTCTTTGTTTATAAAAAATACTCCTTAATTAATAGCATTACTGCGAGTTTCAGTTGAGATAGCATAAGCTCAATGACTATTTTTTTTTGTAGTTAGCCCATAGACTATTTATTTTGTAATTAATACGGTGCTGGCCAGGGATGTTTGTTAGTATTCATAAGATGGGTTAATGTGTCCGTTATACGTTCGCCATGGATAAAGAATAATATGATGTACGAATGTAAAAGGTTGTAGGTATATTTTCGCTAACGAGAATATTACACACAACAAAAAGACTAAAGCGAGATAAAGATAAACATTTTTTTTAGTTCAAATAACTGTACAAAATCTACCTCTTTGGGATCTCCATACTCCAAACTAGATAAGTATCTAATAAATCGGACGATAGTTCCAATTAAACAGAAATTATAAAGTATCGGAATAAACTTCCTATACAAGCTTATCCCTCCTACACTTTAACGACGGAGAGAGGCATCCTCATAAGGTATACAGCCACTATATCCAAGCAGCACCTTGGAAACGAGAACCGCCTAAAGTTACTAAACAGTAATTAGGAACAAAACGCGTTCAGTAACAATAAATTACGCGATATTTCTATACGGGGGGGAACTTTAAATAATGCCATTTCGGAGGTACGTCGCGTTCGAGCGTCGCGACGCGACGCCCGAATATCCTTTTCTATATTAATATATGCGCCAGGGAAATTCTACCAAAGACGTACTCGTCGATAGTTATATTTTTTTTTATAATTATAATACATTAATTAATGTTGAAAATGTTTTGTCTACCTATAGTAGCAAAATTATTAATTTAATTGTTCCAAGGATATCAAAATGTGGTATAGAACTAACCACTAATGATGCGTAATTATTCTGTTCTTGTATTTAAGAAACTGTGTGATCATTAATAGCAATTAAGATAATTAATTATCAACAAATAGTGGTACTAGAAGGATACTAAATTAGCTGATCGTATATCATGGGAAGCGATAGGACCGGAATCGTCTATTTCGTTAATGCATTCCCGACAAAACTTTCCTAATATAACAGAGCGGATTAACAACGGTACCAAATAAAGTGACTACAAGACCGTCGGTCCTTGTCCGACGTTTAAGGCCCCTTATCTGCATAAAACGCGCGTTATTCGCGTATATATAAATACACATGGCACATATGGAGATGGGACGCCCGCCTGTTCCTCCAAACTGCAGTAAAATTACAATAATTACCTACTGGCGAAAAGATGAATTAGGTACATCTTCCTCCAGGCGCTGTTATATTGTCTTCATTCCGATATGGAGGTACAAGGACGGCGAAAAAATGAAACATATGTAGTTTCCACCAACCCCTTTTTTTGCACATCATCGACCGCTTTAAAAAAAACCGCCGCGAATGCGAACATAAATACACGTGATGTGTACGGAAAGTGAAAAAATATTACGATTTTTCACAGAGGACGTTGTAATGGTCGCGAATTCTTAATTACCAATTAATAGTGCGGGGGACAAATCACAATTTTCGTAATACAAACTTTCTTTTATCATGTTGAATTAACTCTAACTAATCGAGAGATAACTCTTCATACATACTCCTAAAATGTATCAAAATTCAGATTATAGATCTAATGAAATTGGGAGTGAAAGAGATGCCGGGATTTTTTGGCGTTTTCGAAGAAAATCCACCTTTAGCCACCGCAACAACGGGCATAAAAAACCATACGATACAGTAAGTGAAGTGAAATATATTACGATTTATCACGGAGGGAGGAAGAGAGAGAAACAGGCGGGAGAACAATGAGCGGGGTGAGGGCATTCTTAATTACCTTTGTCCGGTTGACCCATCGGGGCGAACCCTCCCCCGTCGTTCTGTCTCTCCTTTTTTAATTTTTTTTATACATCGAAAAAGCGAACGATACATCACGGCGACGGGTCCGCTACGGGCCCACAATGAATTTTAATTTTTACAACGCAGATTTGCCGGCAATAAAAGACACTCATAGGTTATCATTAAAAGATACATTAAGGCGCAAATGTCGCGCTTTTCGTTGGTTTTTATTTTAATTTCCTCGTCGTAATGACGGATTTATTTCTTCGAACGAAATAACAAACCGATGGGAAATTGATGGTAGATTACTCCTCGTGCTAGTAGAATTATTAATTTATAATGTGTATTCTCTTCGTACAAGTCACAATTATGAGTACAGCTTAAATAAGAAGAAAATGTGATGTAAATAAAAAGATTATGTATACGTAGGTGCATTATACGTTGTTCGTATAGTTTATTTTTTGTGTTTTTGATATTTTTTGGACGAAAATTAGAAGCCAACGCCCATCAAATGTTAAGAACATTAGACATCCCCGGAGCGTACGCCGAGGTAGAATTACACAAATACATATGTATTTACGGGGTAGGTATAATTTTCCTCTCTCGGCGAGATATTAGCAAAAAGCAGTATTCGTTTGGATTTGGTTAAACGACGTCCGGAAGCGTGGCGTCCATCCTGTACGTCCGTCTAGGTGATGGCGGCGGCGGCGGAGGCGGCTTCAGAAGGGCATCGTATATACCATCTACGCGTCGCTTTTAAACCGGCACGTCAAAATTACTTCTCGTTGGCTAACTTTTATGTAATTTTAACCCTTTTCTCGTTCGTTTTCGCGCCACCGCGACGTTCTTTCGCATACGACGTGAACAGACAATTTTCGACGAATAAAAGATACATTAACGTTACATGAATTAGGTATCAGTTTCTACAAGTTTACGTTGAAATTTATAACCCGGTTTTTTATTAATGCAACGACACTCGCTCGGGCGAGTTAAAATTTCGAAGGGCTATATTGCGAATTGGTATCGAAGGTAATAAATTAGAGAGGAGAGCGGGCGATGATCGAAGTGATATTTTTCGACCGCTATTGGGCCGGTTATTACTATGGACAACGCGAAAAATTACGCGAAACGTCCGTACGAGTAGACCTAAAAAGCTGGAAGCAACATCAGCAAAAACGCGGAGTGTGCCGGTCAGATAAAAAAACGTCAACGTTCGACCATCGTTATACACAAAAGGGTTCGAGGATTCGGTTTTCCTATAGTACGATTTTTTTTTTCGTTTGTAATCTACGAATTACAAATACACACGAATAAGTAATTAGAAAATTAGCGTACGTTTTATCAGATCAATTCCGATGTATCACCAATATGTAATTGTAATTTTTTTGAAATAGAAAAAATCGTATAAAATCCAAAGTCCGTTCCTGATGTTTAACAATTCTAATCCGTCCGTTTAATGGGCGATCATCTCTCATTTTCCGTTCGCATTCCCCGAATATACGACATGTAAACAAACCGTTCCCAGATCGGATCTATCATGAATTAAAAATGTTATTTTTATGTTTCTGGCGTGTTCGGTCCGATAAGTGGAGTTCAATAATAAAAAAAGCCAATCTAGCGGCCGTCACGAATCCGAATGTACCGTATGAATAATGGAAAATTTGGCGGAGGCGAAATGGTGGATTCGGTGATTGGAACTTACCTGCAATAGATGACTTCTTTGTTGTTCTCGAAGGCGCCGTAAGGGGGGCTCTTGTGCGGCAATTCCAGAACTAAAATTCCGCACGGGCCGGCTATGGCGAGTAGCGTACCGGTATCGTTTACTATTAAAAATTCCGGCGAAAAAAGCGGAGGATGCAGAGGCAGCAATTTCTGTAAAAACGAAAATACATTTTAGAGAGAAAATTCCTAATACTTTTTACCGAAAAAAAACCATTTAGTCGCGAACCCAATATCAATAAATATCCCACTCGGCCGTGCCTTTTTTAAAGGTAAACACGGCCATTAAGAGAAATTTATTTTAAAAAATTTCCAAACGATCGAATGAACGGCCTCTTTCCGTTCCGCTGGGGAAAAATATTTATCGCGAAAATTGATAAACGGCCCAATTAAGGAAAAAAACCGCACACCGTCGCATATTGATGCATAAAAAATAAGGCGGCAAGAAAAAGATGAAAAAAAAATCTAATCCCCCGTTATTGCCCCGAACGCCTAATTTAAATCGGGAGCCGCGTAATGGCCGCCGAGTATAAATTATCGGAATTATTATATTAAAAAATCCATCTAAGAAGTCAAAGAAGACCATTATCTCGACGTTTTCCGTTAACTAATAGCTATTTTTCGTTGCCGTCGGGCTTTTTCGGTATTAAGCGCAGTAAAAATAGATTTAAAATTAACAAGCGACCCGAAACGACGAGTCCCGGAAATATTGATATACGCCAAAGCCCCTTTTGCACCGTGGAAACACTTGAGATTATAAAGGACAAAAATTTTAAATTATCCTACTAACTGCGCCAATTCTTCTAACATTAATCAATAATTTGTATAAATAATTTATAGAAATATATAAGCCTAAGCCGGAGGCATTAGTAAATTAATTTTTAATTAAAATTATCCGGAATTCGTTCCACGTCGAACGAAAAGAAAATGATTAGGAATTACGTTTCGTTCAGGATGGAAAAATTAACCGAACGTCCCCTTGACGTTTTCATAAGTTTATTTGTTTTCCAGTTTTAAGGCGATGCGGAAAATACAAATTGACATCGTCGAGGATCTTACTAAAAGTTAATTTTTTATTTCCGTTTCGTTTCATTTCTTTTTTAATTGAATAGGTAACGAGGTTCTCGCAGGCAGTCGAATCGTCTTATTAACCCGTATTATCGTTCGCAACTCGAAAAAAAAAAGCCAAGCAAAATTATGTAAAAATGTACTTTTAAATCAGTTATTAGAGGGTTAACTACTTAACAAAAGTTTCCTGTTTTACCCTCGGAATTTTCGGCGATTATGTGATGTCGGGTAAAAAAAATCTTCGAGCAGAACGCGAAAACCATTAGTTAAAAAATTAAAAAACATTTGAATAATGACGGGCGCCGACGAAAAATATTCCTTCTCGAAATAATCCACGCCCCGTCCCCCGGGAGTTCACCGGACGGGTCTCGAGCGGGCGGGAGACAATTCGAGACCTTTTTTTTCACCCCTAAGAATATATTAATTGAACGACTGTACATTTTTTTTAGCTCGATCTCTTTCTCCCAAAGTAGCGACACGGTTTTTACACTTTTTAATGTTAATCTTTCGTAATAAGTTACCGGCAGAAATGAATGCTTGCTATCCTCCTCTAATACCTGATGGATTAATTGGGGCTAGAGATGGGAATAATTCCTTATTGTTTTCTTAATAAATATGTAACTTAAGACAATGTCTTTCTTACAACAATATTTTTTACAAACATACGATTTATTCTTCTTGTAAAGTAGGTACATTTTATTTCTTGTCATATACACTCGTTTTTATTATCAATTTCGGATAGGTTCGCGTTTTTTTGTCCTAACAAATGAAGGGATAATTAGATTTTAGGCTCGATAACCGAGGGCTAATCGTATGTAATAGCATTGTAATAACTAATGAAAATAACAAATTACTACCTATAAAGTATTGCCTGATAAATAGTTGGGGGTTCCCAGGGGATAGGCCCAACCCGTAGCCTCTATATCTACAATGTTATGCGTTTGTTTGCGTCCCACGTCGAACTTCATGTCGCTTGTTATTTATCGGTACTGTTAACATACCAATAATTAAAATTAGAAAAAAAAGTGGAGCTTCGTACACGGAAATTTCGTGTTTTCCCTATAGAAATAAAAAAAACCATCGATTCGAAAATAAAAATCCCCATTTCCAGACTTTCGAAAACGAGCACGCCTCGCCTACGCTCCTTCGCCCAGTCGATTTGAGCGGAAAATTCCCATATAAAACGAGAACGAAAAACTTCAAAATCCGCACCTGGGAAAGCGCGGAAAACGAAAGAGGATTGAAAACAATATTATGCAAATATTTCGAGCGTAAAAAATAAAAAGTGGCAGTTTACATTCGCCAACTTTTTAAAAAGTTGTTGACTAATTCATGGAGACTTTATTTTGAACTGTTGAACTCGATGAGGAAAAATAATAAAAAAATCCGGTAGCTGCATTCGTTTTTACTAGACTTACACATGAAGAAATGCTACTTAATGCTACTTTAAACCGTGCATTTAAGCTTCCCGTTAAAAAATACTACCCAATTTTCCTACTTCGACTAAAAAACATACAGGATGGATCAACAAACTACTTATTTTCGTATACAATTAAGGTATAACATTTATATTGAACTGAAGAAAAGAATAATTATAATTTAAACAAATAATTTTAGTGTCTCATTTTAGTATTGCCGTACTAAAAGAATACTTTAGGTGCTTAAGTAAGCGAGATGGAAAGCCTCTCGATTTTCCTTCGTCGGGTGAAAGAGAACAGAAAAGTTCTTAACGAATTTACGGCCGGCCCGGGGACACAATTTATTTTTATGCCGGGAAAAGTTCGGGAATAATTTCATGTCAATAATAAGGTTACATAACTTTTCTTATTATTATCTTCGATATTAACATCATGCGTGCCGGGCGCCCTCTCGCTTTTTCGCCGTTTTTCCATCGAATTATTATTATATACCTGGTGTATGTGCCTGCCGAAAGTTAGGGAAACGAGACGGCTTGTAAATACTTTTTCCATATTTTCCTCCGGTAATTGCTTCTGCTGCGAGATGTTTGTTTTGTTTAAAAGAGCGCGGCTGCATCATTTCGGAAAATTTCAGATAATTTAAACAGCTCTACACGATTCGGAAAATCCCCCATAAACCAGGTACATTTTACGTTCAAGTAAATGGACGGAACTCCTTTGGGGAGAGCTGAAAGAAATGGTGCGTTAGATTAGGCACACGTCGCGAGGATAGCAACACCTGTAGGCGATTGCTCGAATTATACAAATTTACAAACAAATTGAGTTAATCACGTGAAAATTCGCACGAATTTATGCAATGGCGTTTTTCTTGAAGCCCTCCCGGAAACTTCGCAGTCACGTTTTGACGTTTTCACCTGCTGGAAATGATGTCTTTAATTTTTTTGCAAGACCCGTCGAGCGAACGAATGCATACGCCCGGATTTCTTATGCGTACGGACTCGATTCGAAGCAAGCCGAGATGAGAAAAAAAAGCGTCGTATAATTTTTTAAAGATGATAAATTCGTTGGAAACTCTCTCGTTATCCGAAGTTACTTAAAGGTAAGGAAATTTATACTTCAGAGGGAGGCAACACATGCCATTTATGCCTGAAGTTCATTACATCAGGTGTCTCTGGCTCTTTAATCGTGTAGTGTCGCCTTCGTAAAGCAACACTATATCGGGAGTGACTACTAAACCATCCAAAACGGTTATTAGTACAGTTTTTTAATCTATTCAAAAACTACAAAAATTGTCATCTTTATATTGATACTAAATATTAATTTATCGTACTATAATCCACTAAAATATTGGAAAAAAATGATGATAATTTTGAACTACTCTTGTACGATTTATTTTTCAGATATTATCGAAATATACATTATTATTTTGCGGCGCCGTCGACTTAGTAGTCACTTCGTGTATCGTATATCGTTCGGAGAGTCACAATATGTTCACCCTCACAACCACTATCGTTCTTCTTTGATACAAGACACTTCTTATTTGATTAATTAAGGGATACGTGCGAGGAAACTTAAATACGACGACCGAACGGAATAGGTGACGAAGTACCTATAAACATGCGGTGCAAGTAAAATATTCCGCGTCGAGAATTCAATTTAAAAACCTCACCTACTTCGATTCGCCCGCCCCTGCGCCCTCGGCTTAAAAAAAAGCCGGGGCCAATTCTTAATAACCTCCTTTTTATTTTTAATTCTCACCGAAAGCAGACATCACATTTTCAAGCCTTATTAATCTCCCAGGAATATTTTCGGAGGATAAAAAATTAAAACCCGAAGCATGATGTTTTTTTTTTGTTTTTTTGTTCCGAGGGGTGTATGTATGTTAGAAGGGGAGGCGAGAAAGAGAAACGGCCAAGATGGATGCCTCGTTCGCAGTCGGATGGACTTTTATTGAGACATTAATAACTGAAAAATTCGGTGAAAAAAGGTCGTTTAAAATAAGCAAAATAAAGCCTTGAAAAAATTTAATAACGGTGTACAGAAGAGAAGAATACAACATGAATTTAATATAGAGTTTATTAGAGTGTTTTGTCGTTAACAACGAACTTAATCGAAAAGTGGTTGATATAGACAATTAGATATGTTATTGGATCTTTGGCACCCTCTCTTCTTCGAGCGTTCACCGTACGAACATAATTCTAAATAATTAAGCAACACAATCCTTAATTACGGAACGCCCCGTCAACCGATAAGCCAGAAAATTTACTTCGGCCATATTAAATTATTAATTTACCGGGCGCCGAAGCGCCATAAATTTCGGCGATTTTTGATGCTCGAACAAACCACCACAAGGTAACATCCAAACATAATATACTATTTAATAAGGCTTCGCAAATTAACACCCCGGTACAGTATTACAAATACCGTACACATGATAACATATAGCTTTATAGCTGATTACGACCGCGCCGTATTAAACGTCCGCTCTATCGCCGTTTCGCTCGCTCGACGCCGATGCGGCCGTTGGAGCGACAGAGATCGAAGAGGCCTCGGATGGCATAAAACTTGAAGAGTTAAAAGTTCGGTACACGGTGAACGCTGGAGAAAATGTCTTGCGGAAATTTATGGCGATTGCGGAGCGGAAGGGTGTGTGTGTATGTTTATACG